GGCTGGAGCTCCACGAGGGGGGAGCCTAAGTGTGTGTGTGTGTGTGTGTGTGTGTGTGTGTGTGTGTGTAGGGGGGTGGTGTCATGCACAAGCAAGAGGCGGAGCCTGAGCGCAGCTGTTGGGTTACGTTCTCCGCGTGGGCGGTACGTGCACGCAGATTCCTAAGGGCAGGATGCTCTTTAGGGGTGGGACGTAAGGGACAGTCAGGGCTGGGGTTTATGGGCATCTTTAGTAGGCGGGTCCAGGGGAAAGGGCTCTGTGTAGGTGAGCAATTACTTACGTGTGAAATTGTTGGCCATACGTGGGCGGAGTTTTTCTCCTTTTGTAAGCTTGTGGGCGTGGCTTGCAGCTGGGGGCGGAGCCTGCAGAGACGCTTGAGGGGTGCTTTACTCCTTCCCTAGAGGGCGGGGTTTGCATCACCCTCCGACAAAGTATTACATCGCTACCAGATTCCCTGCAGAACCCCAGGTTCTGTGAAGAGATGGAGTCTGCAGTTCTGTTAGGCGGGGCGCATAACTGTTCATGAGGACAATGTGTAAACTGGGTGGAGTTCATACCTTCGGGAACCCAGGGCTAATAATTCTGCCAGTTGCGCCAGCCGAGTGGAGGAGGCGGGGCGTATGGCATTTGTGGGAGGAGCTTTGGCGTCGGAGATGGGGCAGAGGGACAGGGCAATAGTTCTGCGGGAATCTCTGAGCTGGCAGGGGCGAGGCTTGTCGTCTTGGAAGGCGGGGCCTCTGGAGAGCTCGCAAGGGGGCTCTTGAAGGCTGTCGGGTGGACTTGGCTGGTAACTCCGTGGGACCTGGGCTGATAGCGCCGGAGTCAGTGCGGTCCTTGGCCAGCCTGGATGAGGCGGGGCCTGAGAGCCAGTGGGCGGAGCCTGAGAGCCAACTCTAAGCCTGGGCGGAGCCCCGTTCGGCGCAGGCGGGGGCTGTGCCCTGGGAGGCCGTCTGTTTAGGCCCGCACGCAGCTCCGCATCTGGTGCTCATTACCGGATGACAAAGAGCCGGCTCTGGGCCCCCTTCCCCAACTCCATCCCTCCCTCCGACTGCGGTGCAATTAACTCTTTCCTACCCTCCAGGCGTTCTGAATCTTCCACTCGGGGTCACCGGAGGGAGCTCCTATCCTTCCCGTACTGGCAGGTCTTGTCGTTCCCTATGCTGCTCCCGCACTTCCTTCCCAGGAATTTGGGGTGTCCTGCGACCCCTGCTCCCATCCAACAAACCTCCCGGAGGCGTCTCCGAGGTTAAAAGTTGGGCCGGATCTAGCGGGGGCGTCTGGTTTGAGTTAGGAGAACGTGAGAGGGGTGACGGGGGTAGGGGGGGCGGGCGTAGTGTTCCCTCCGCCCTCTCCGCGGCTACCCCCCACCCCCGTTTTCTCCCCATCTCTGGTCCCTGCTCTCCTGGACCCCTGGGGCCCAGCCCAGACTTCCAGACCAAGCGTAGCCTCCGGACCAGAGGGTGACTCTGGGTAGGGAAGGGGGCGCTAGGCTACCCCTCTTAGCCTGCCCGGGTGGTCGTGGCAGCTCTGCCCCGCCCTAATTAGAGGCCCCAGAGAGGCTGCAACTGAAAAATTACAGAGGCGGTGGGAATCGGCGCCTCTCCCGCCCAGGTCGCGCCCCTTCCCCCTAAAGCAGTGAGCTCAGGATGACAGAAGTGGCCCCACCAGGCCGATCTTTGACCAGCCTCTTCTCTATTTCCTGGGACACCTCAGCCCTGAGCAACCCAACGGTCGCTCAAAGTTGGGGTCTGCTGAGTTCTCTGTCTGGGTGCCACCCCCAACCCACACAAAGAGCAAAACCTGGCCCCAAAAGGAAAAGCCATCCTGAGACCGTTCAGGGAGTTGGGTGCGACTACATCAGCGTCCGATCCTCTCTTCATCCCACCCGCCTAGGCTTGTCCTCCCCAGACTAGGAGAAGGGCCTCCGAGATCACCTACAACCAGAGGAGCAGCAGCACCCTAGGCTGACCCCGAGCCCCAGGCCCCAACTTCTTGACAGTCTTGAGGATGGAACGGGAAGTGCCAGAAGCATATTAGGAGACACTCTCCCACTAGATCTTCCCCTTACTCCCCTGATTCACAACCCCAGAACCTAGGTTCAACCCCAAAGCCCCAGTTTGGTTCCAGTTCAGCAAAAGCCCTCATTCCAGAACCCTCCCTCAGATAAAGCCTCAACTTCTTGGAGTTTTAGTAAAAGGAGGAATAAATATAGAATTCTCCCCATGACCAACCTCTCACTCAGCTTTGCTATGTGACCTGGGACAGAGTTTTGTCCTTTCTGAGCTCTTGCTTCCCTGAGAACCTCTGATGCACCCCGTCTTATAAGGGGCCTTAACTTACCTCTTTGGGGACAGGGTCCTCCTTTATTCTGAGTCCCTCCCAGGCCCTCCCCTCAGGCATCAATGGGGTTCAGGAGCGTTGGGTGAGTTGGCACCCCATTTATTGCCGAAAACCCCAGCACCCACCCCCTGAGGTACTGGAGGACTTGGCGTATCCTCTGTCCCGAGTGCCGGGCCAGGGAGCGGAGTTCCCAAGAGCCAAGTGTAGTGGTTGACAGAGAGGAGCCTGGCTGGGCCCGGGAGCAGGAAGCCCTCTGTCCAGCGGGGCAGCCCCCATGGGTCCGTGTTGCAGCCGTGGCCATGTGTCCATTGCATACGTCTTCCTCCTACCCCATGGCAGGGGTGGGGGATCTGTCCCCATCACACGCTGGTTCTGCACGTCTGCACTCCTGTGAGGCTGCCCCTGGGGGGCATGGGTTCCGTTGGGCCCTTGCTCCCAGCCTGGGTGACCCAGCGATAGCAGTCAGTGATACGCTTGTTGGGGGCGTGGGGGCCACAGCGGGTGCAGTACACGATGCCCAGTGCAAGTAGAACCACCAAGAAGACGCATGTTGGCACCAGGAGTGCCACCAGCAGCCACCGGTCATCCCTTCGGCTGCGGCCTGCGACTGGCCTCCCCCAGGGCTGTTGGGAGTGCTGTGGGGGCTGTCGAGGGTAGCCACGGAGCCAATCTGGGGCTGGAGCCACCTTCCTTTGGGATGTGGGGGGGTTTTGAACGTGGATGTGTAGGGCTGACAGGTGAGGTCTGGCTGGTGGGAGTCTGAGGGGGCAGGGGAGTGAAGGGGACTGGGGGCTGGGTTGCAGCAGGCACAGGGACTTGATGGGCAGGGGGCTCTGGGGTTCTGGAGGTGGTGGTCTGAGAAGGCTGGACAGTTGAGGTAATGGGAAGCTGGGTGACTTGGGTTCTGAGGACCGAGGCATCTGGGGCCAGAGGGGGTGGGGGAGCACTGGGGGTGGTGGACAGAGGGGTGAGGTTAGCTGAGATTTGAGGCGAATGAGTGGTAATCTGGGCATCGGTAACCTGGGTTTCTGGAAACCTGGGGGAATGGTGGGCAGGGAACAGTTCAGGATACTTGGCTGAGTTAATGGGGGGCCAGTGGGCAGGGGGCTGTGCAGGGTGAGTGTCAGAGATAATTTGGGGTTGATGGGCAGAGAGAAAGTCCGGATAGTTGGCTGCAATCACAGGGATATGATGTCCGGGGAGTGACGCTGGTCGTGTGGCAGAGGTCATGGGGGGCTGATGGGCAGGGTTTGGGGGCGGATGCGTGGCAGAGATGATAGGGGGCTGGTGGGCAGGAGGCAGTGTGGGGCGCGTGGCAGAGACCACCACAGGCCGGGTGACAGAGAGTACTGAGGAGTGGTAGGGGACCCTGGGGGCACTGAGCGGGGGTGGCCAGGTGGGCTCTTGGTAGGGGATCCGTGGCTCTCCGTCCTCTGGGAAGCTGGGTCTATAGCCCAGGCCAAAGTCAGGCGGCTGCGTAGGCTCCATCCACAGGATCCCTGGCATCTCTGTCCAGCCACCATTGAAGGCCTCCCAGATGTCATCTTCATCCTCCTCGTCCTCCTCGTCCTCCCCATCATCAAGCAACTCATCTACAAGGTCCTGGGAAGCCCGGGCGCCTATGGCCCCTGCAGGGCTGCAGCTGATGCCATCAGCCTCCAGCTCGTGGCCTTCACTGCAATAGCACTCAAAGCCGCCAACATAGTTGACACACATCTGCTGGCACACACCGGCGATCTGGCACTCATCTGTGTCCACGCAGCGATGTGGCTCATCCTCAGCTGGCCGGAAACCCAGACGACAGTGGCAGCTGTAGCCCTGTGGCCCACCAGGCTCACACTGCTGCTCACACGGGGCCTGGGCACAGGGATCCTCGCAACTGCGCCCATCTGCTGCCAGCTGGAAGCCCTCGGTGCAGCGGCAAGACACATGACCATCCACTTCCTCCACACACTCATGTTCGCAGCCTCCGTTGTCTGGGCCACAGCCAGTCCCTGGGCACAGGGGCCCAGTTCGTGACCAGCCCACGCCACCCTCAGGCTGCTTCACACAGAGCAGAGAAGCTTCCCTGCCAGCCTGGCAGGGCATAGTAGCCACCGAGCCGAAGGGCAGGCAACAGAGCCGGGGGCCAGCCACTCAAACTCTGTGGAGACCAATTGGAAGGGTGTGGTGTAGACGGCGGGGCCAGCTTGGCCTGCCTCCTCTGGCAATGCTGGGCAGGCGCCCTCGAAGCCAAACTGGCACAGATAGCCATCGACAGCCAGTGTGCATGAGCCCTCGAGCCAGCGATGCTCACCACTCGCCTCAAGTGCAGCACAGCGCTGGGCTGGGCAGGGCCCTCCTGTGGCTGGCTGGGCCCAGTTGGTGAAGGCTGTGTCCTGGTCTCCCGTGGTCCACGTGAAGCCGCGCAGTGGTCGCTGAGGCGGGCCCTGCCGCTGCAGCCCAATCCACAGCAGCTTGCTGGCTGGGCCGGCGCCCACAAGGCTGTCCACACGCTGGGCCTCCTCAGGGGTCCGAGGAGTGGCCAGGTTGCCCCCCAGCTCACGGCAGGCTAGCCAGGCCTCCAGGAAGGTGCGGCGTTGTGGGAAGAGTGCGTAGCAGCTCCCTGGGCCACAGGCGGCCCGGGGCTTGGTGGCCCAGGGGGCCTGGCCCAGGGTGGGCACTGTGGCTGCCCAGGCCAGCAGCAGGCGCAGCAGCATCGCGTTGCC